ATTTTTGTTGAAAGAAAAAAAGCCACCAAATCCGTTTTTTTTTATTGGCTAAAAAGAAGGGATTTTCCGCACTCTTTTGACGTTGGGGCTGCGAAAAGTGATTTGAAGGGTTAAGGTGACTGAAATTCGTCAGTGTATTATGAGCTTAATGGCCAAGCACAAGAAGTATGTAAGTCTCCAAATGACACGTAGAGATATTCAGGAACCGTTTACTACCACTTTGGTAGATATTGTGCAGCAATCCGAGTGCAATATGATGCTTGTAGCAGCTTTCACAGTGTTCCTGTCTGCTCATCCTACTGCTGACTATTGTGATGCTTCGACCTTCCCTACCGAATTGCAGATGAAATCAGTCGTGTCTCAACTGAAAGCTAAACATAAAAAGGTGATAGCAGAAGCATAAAAGGTTGGCAACTGCTTAATTAATGATGCTGAGAATGTGGCTTTTTTGAGATACACTGAATTTACTCCCAGTACTAGCTTTAGTACTAGCTAGTATGGAGACTTGAGGATACTGTTTGTTTGTTTGTTTGAAATTAAGCACAAAGCTACACAATGGGCTATCTGTGCTCTGCCCACCACTGGTATTGAAACCCGGTTTCTAGCATTGTAAGTCTGCAGACACACCGCTGTACCACTGGAGGACTGAGGATGCTGTATTTCACTTAAAAATTTATCAATTAACAAATGAAAACTTGTCTCGATAAAATATATCTAAAACCACTCTCTTTGGGAGTTTCCGGATTGAACTTACTTTTAATATTCGACAATTTATAGTGTAATGACACCCCTTGGCTCCAGAGGAACATGTTAAAACAAAACAAACCAATATCTATTTAATTTGTTTCGTAATTGAGTACATTTGTGCACGTTTTTACATTTAAGCTTCTTGGTATTTCTTTAATAAATAACTTAAGCATGCATCTCTGTAAGTTGTAGATAGCAAATTTAATTATAACTGAATATGTATTACATTTCAAGGTAGACAAAAGTATTTGTCATATACATAATTCCTACATTTCTCTTTAATAAACCCTCATAAAAAACGTCATTATTATTTAAAATAATCCAATAAATACAATATCACAACATTTCTTATTTTGATTTCTACCGGAGTCACTGAAAACCAGACAAACCTCAAAAATGGCAATGTTAACAAAAATGCACCATAAAAATTATGTTTTCAATGTGATATATATCGCATTATACATAATACACTGAGAAATATAGTTAATAAATTATATGATTATGAGTGTAGGATGACATTTATTATTTAGTTCTATAAGACTCTACAAGGTTTGTCACATATTTACCTTGTTGGGAATAAATTAAGTGCTGTACCACAAATTAATATTATACAATCTAATACTTCTGCATTTTCCTTATTTTGAAAATATGCTTAGTTTGGGGATTTCAATACTGTCGTAAGCTATATATTTAGATATATGTATTGTTGGTTGGCCAGTGGGATATTTGACGTTATGTGATGAGCACATACCATAATGTCAGGAATTTTCTCCAACAACTTAGAACATCTTGAACCAGATATAAAAACGAGTTAGACTAGAGTTTGCAAATGATTCTGTTAGATAGTTAACGAGTAATCAGTACATGGTTCAGCCAGTTTGTTTGTAGCTTAGTCAATTCAGTGCTATATAAGTAAAATTTCTGTTTACACATTGTTTATTTATGAAGTCTGACTATGTTAATTACATAAAACTGTAGAACTTTTGGTGGAACAAATAAAATGCTTTCGTTATAATTACGTGGACTGGACCTTGTATTCTTCTTTTTACTGAATGATCCAAAAGATCACACCCAATGATAACAACTGTTACCACAATAAGTTTTATCTGAAAAATACTGTTACGTATCTACTTGTTTGTTTGTTTCCAGTAGAAATTCTTTCCGAGGATCTTCAGTGATAGAAGTCCTTTCTTTATTAAGCCAGTTTATTCTTCCTCGATACAAACTTTTAGTACACAGTAGTTCCACAATCAGTACGTTTATCGTCACTTTAAACTTAACAACTTTTATAAT